GAGTAGGGCCGGATATGGTTATACAATGCGGCTCAGATCCGGCCCGAATGCGGCCCGGATCATGGATGCCAGACCCGGGCCACTGCAGGACCGTCATTCATTGTGGTATGTGGGCCGAGTGTCGTGCCGTGTCCGCGCCAGAGCTGGGCCAGACCAATTTTGCTGACTGGGTGTGTACTCATAAGTTTTGTTTTTAGTGTTTCTTAAAGGCAGAACGGTAGCATTTGAATAAAAGTTGTGCTGTGGAACATCCACAAATTGCCTTTTTTCTCCTCAAGTCAATTCAACTCTATTTATAGAGCACTTTCAAACAGCCATTGCTGCATACAAAGTGCTGTACATGGAGCAACTAACATATATACAACAATAAAGCAATAATCAGGAACAAAGATGGTAGTAGGCACCAAACAGTAAAACTAAGATCAAATCTGAGTCATGCTGAGTCAAATGCCAAAGAATACAAGTGAGTTTTGAGGCGGGTTTTAAAGATGGGCCGCGAGTAGGCTTGCCGAATGTTCAGTGGGAGGTCATTCCAGAGAGAGGGGCCAGCAACGGAAAAGGCTCGATCCCCTCTGAGCTTCCGTTTAGTTCTTGGTACTTCTAATAATGTCTGGTCCACAGACCTGAGGCGCCAGTCAGGTGTGCAGGGGCGGATGAGCTCAGAGAGTTAAGGTGGCGCGAGGTTATTTAAAGAAGAAATAAAGAAAAGAAATCAAAGAAATTAAAGAAGTCCTGAAATGATACATTCAAATGATTATTCTCCACAACTAGTGAGAACATAATTTTTGCCTTGGAATCGGAGATGCTGCGTCTCTTGTCACCCGGGTGTACTCGTGACGTAATAGTGAAACGGACTTTTTAAATTATCATCACTTTGTAGCTTTAATTACTGATGTTAAATTGAAGCCAAGGATAAACGATGTTTGTAAATCTAGAAGTTGTATGAGGGTTCAAAATTGAAACGAGCTGTTGTTCCCGTGGGTTGGCATGAATTTATAAGGAAAAGACGCATGGTTTAGTGATTGGTTAGCTTTCAGCGAGTTATCCAATGGCGTCGCAGTCCGCTCAACCAGCCACGCAAACGTACAGTACGCCCTTCACGTTGCTCACATGGATCGGCTCGAGGTGATCAGGCCACACCCCAGCAGAGCAGACACTAGCCGAACTCCCATGCGGGAGGAACAAACAGATTGTGTAACAGCTGCAAGACCCGCGGTCCCCTACAGCAACCCGTTGCTCGCTGCGGTCCGTTCCGTGCCAACCTTGAAAGCTCCACGATGCCGGGGCGGCGGCACTCACAGCGGCCTCTAAGCGAGTCAGTGCCCGAGAAGTAGTCGATGATATTCGGATGAAGTTTGTGAACCAAAGCGGTTCCATTTTTTTGCCCTACTCGTTGCAACATTATGGGAGGAATGAAAGTCTCTTTGGCTGTTAAAATGGGATTGTTTTTGCACAACGTTGCCTCTGTCACCCCCACAGCTTCCACAACCGACAGGGTAAGCTGTCCTAAGCGAGCTCATTTCCTATGTCAGGGCTGTTAGCAAGCTGCTAGTTACCTGGATGAGTTAGAACGTGCAGTGTAAACATTCACTCGTTTGTTAAACATAAAGCATACGGTGGTACGGACCGCGCCATACATGTATATATTACATTGCTTTTACTCACTGGCTACCTTTAGGATACCTTGTTGTCAACGACAACAATCCATGTTCGCTAGTAGCGCTCGCTAACATTACAAAGTTAAAGAAGGCTGGAGGAGTTCGGGCCTTGCTTTCGTGGGTTTTGGCCACAAGATGCATAAACATGATGTGAATGTCGCCATGCTACTCGCAACAGCCTAGCGTTTCTTTTCAGTGTGGTACACTTAATTTGCTGTAATCATTTAAAAGACACAATGTCAAGATGAAAACTGCACTCACCAGTTATTGCTTGCTGCACTTTGTTCAAGTCTCACTGGTCACATACTGTTATGTTATGCAGCAGTACATCGTAACATTGTGTTTAATATGTTTAATGCTTTCTCATCACCAGAGTTTTCACATTGGGAGACAAAGATAGAGTTAAAATATGTTGGCAAAATGCAATGTACAGTACTGATACAAGAGTGCAGTAAACCTGGCAAGGGAGCAAAGTACTGAATTTAAAATGTTGGGTTGAGTTTCATGTTTTCGTATGAATCATTCCTCTTTGTAAACATGTCTCAAACCTGTGTATGTTAAACTCAGGGAATTTGTTGCTGGTAGTTGAGTTGGTCTCATTCTTGTAATAACTCCCAAAAATAAATTAAGAAAATGGATGTGGGACAAACGGAGATCCAATGTTCAGCGCAATAGTGCAACAATGATCATGAAGTATGAAAATCATGCACATTGACGGCAACAACAACAAATACAGCAAGAAAGGGCACTCCAGAGATGCGTCACTATGACATAATTATTTTCAATGCAAAAATAGCACTGTGGTTTTCTTGCCAATTGAAGAGTTTGCATGCAGCATTTACTGTACAAGATCTAAGAGTAAGAGGCCGAGTATCCTCTCACATGCAAATGGTTATCACTCCTTTTTTCTTTCTATTCTTGACCTTCTGTACTTGTTTATAGGCACATGCACAAGCACCATAACAGAGTCCCAACATGCAACATTTCCACGGGTTAGTAATACACCGTTGCATGTTTCGTAGACACAGGTTACATCATCCTTATAGCAGTGAAACTCGGTCATAACTTGAGGACCCTCTGTACTTAGGAAATGATGCATAGCCTGGCAGCCGTGTGTTTGCAGTGTCTATATTTCTTTTTTTATGCATGCCCTTGTAATGGCCGTTGACCAAGAGGAGGTGTCACATGGCTCACGCATATGTCAATGCCTTAACCGTTCACATATCAGCTGTATTTTATCTTTATCTGTGCCACCATAATCAGTCATAACAGTCATGATGATTAACTTTTACTAGCTCTGTTTTGTCACTTAGTCAACTATTCTAGCACCAGAATACCTACATGTCAGAAAGTAGACCTGTGCATGAATCGGTGGTGAGTGTATGTGCTGCTAAGTGGCTCTTTGGTCACATAGTGAGCCACACTCATGACCGAGCATTTTGAGTGACAGCGGAACCACTGTCTTCCCTTCACTGCATTTTCATTTTCATCTCACCTCTAAACACCACTAATGATGACGTTGAAAAGGTGTCACAATAGGGCTGTGCAATGGAATTTGAAGCATGATTCCAATTTCGGATTCCCCCAATCTTAAAATCATTATAATCAAAGAAAAAATTATAAATGTTCAGAAGGGCGGCGTGTTTGAGCAATTTCCCATTGTGACAATACACTGACTGCATGATTTTGCTTGTGCAGCAAGCGTGTGATGTGGCTGTGATTCTTCCCACCCTGACTGTGTGTTAAGCTGTTGAATGACACCCCTACTGATGTTTTTTATTGGCATTATTTTAGAATATCCTTGTTTAATTTTGCCACTAATTTAGTTTCTGGCTATTCATTCAAGTTATAAAGTTACTTTTCAAGGATTCAAGGAATTTTTATTGACATACCAACACACCTTTCCATATGAAATAGCACAAAATATATTACCTGAGGTCCACAGGTTAGCCCAGGAAGTTCCAAAACTTAAGAAAATAAAAAATAGAACAATATACGATAAAAACAAATATGATAAAGAGATCAGGGAGATGCATATTCACATTCTGAATTTGTGCAAAGATGCACTGGAGCCGAAATGTGGTTCTCACACAGAGTGGATTAAGATGACTGGAGACGTAACGCCCCCAAGAAATGTCAGCAAACTTGTCACTAATTAAGTTTGGCTTCCAAAACCAGAATGAGTTAATTTGGCAAGCAACACGTAAAAGGAACACTCTGCAACATGCAAATTCTGCATTGCACAAAGTCCAACATTTAACTGCACATTGAGAGGAAGCATAATGACAGGTAAAGTAAACGTTTAATTAACCGCTCTGAGAAAGTTAAAATCAGAACATCACATTTTGGCAAAAATAAGATCTTTTCTTCCAACAATTGTTTTATTTTTTGTTTTGTTTTTGTTTTTTTTTGCATACATTCAGTGCAAATGGCGACTTAGTATTACAACCCTTATACTAGTTCAGAAACAGCATTGCATGATTTGTTTAACATAATGCAAAAAAAAAAAGATACTTTTTAGTTCAGTGCAGACCAGGATTTAGGTAACTGACCTTAGAACTGTTCACCGTTTTACCGGTAGTTGACATCAATTTCTTCCACACATTGCGTTGTCCAATAGGGTGTGTTTTTTGTGTAAAAGGGCTGTTTTTGCAAAAGGACAAAACAGCGTCAATACATTGGAGGACAACCTGAAGACTCAAACAAATTGAATGGTTCGGTTCTGAGTATCAAGTGGCAAAACAGGCCCAGGTGGCCTGGTTGAGAACGTAAGCTGGGCAAAAGCCAGCAGATCAATGAAAACAGCAGAGGTTATCTGAAATGTCACCTTTTTTTTTTTTTAACCATTGAATTCCCTATTTCTGTTCAGCAGCACTTTGGAACATGTCAAATAAGTTCAGAAGATTATAAACAAAATTTGGTCAGCGGTATGTAAGGCTGTGGCCACGTTTATGTCAGCAGTTGAGGTTGTAATGATCAAATGGATTGTGTGGACTGGTCTCCACTGCTTGGAAATTTCCATAGAGCAATCGTTGCTGGGCTAGATGTGTGTGCTTGAGTGTTTGTTTTCGTGGAGGTCGGTAGGTGTGTGGGGCAAGAGAGGGGAAGAAGCAACATGTATGTTTGAGAGCCATTTTTTGTGTGGGAGAATGATCTATAGTATGTGGTGGAGGGACGGGTGTGGGATTTGAATCGGATTTAAAAAAAATATTCAATCCAAATGTCTTTCCTTTTATTGTACAAAAACAGGACTTTATTTCAAACTGACAGTGCAGAAAATGCACAAATGAGGGGACGCTAAACTGCACACAGGTTGATCAATAGTTGGTTGCAGGCTGCAAAGTACGCGCTGCGGGTGATCATTTTTTTGCGATCCCAATGAAAAGCATTGATTGACATGCCGATCACATACTTTTCCCCGGAAGTTAGCCGAACAAATAGAGAACCATTACAAAACATGTTACTGAAGTACTACAAGTACTACCACTATTTGTAATTTGTAGCAGGCCATGTCCGACCCTGGATGCTTTGTGATGTTTTCAAACATTCAAGATGAATTGTGGTTCGACCCATTCCCCTCCTTTTCTCATTGTCTTGCAGAGCCTACTTCTCTGTGAAGGTGTCAACAACCAGAGCTACATATGTGAGTCGGGTCACTGCTGTGGAGAATCTCAGTGTTGCAGTTACTACTATGAGCTTTGGTGTAAGTGTTCTGCTATTCCTAGACCATACTGTCAAAGTGTGCTAAATTGGCCGACGCCAACCCGCTAAATGCGGGTTAAAATAAATTTTGGTGGGAGGTAATAAAAACGCATTGGCCACTTTGGCCAGTGATGCATAAGGCAATTGTGTTAGTCAGATATACATAGGGTTGGGTATCAAGTCTTGAGAATCGATTGGAACGGGACTATTCTCACAGAATTTTCAGCGTTTTAAATTTCCGGTTCCCCGTTACGTTGGCTCGTCCGTCAACCCGAAGAAAAAGACACCCAACGAAGAAATGCGCCCATACATGCGTCAATCAAGCGGGTGCACCCAATGGCAGTCGCAAGTGTGGCTTCGCTTTGTTAAACTAAATAAAGAGTCGCCTTAGTGCAACACTTAAAAGAAGATGATATTGTGCAAAGGAGGTTGCATGACACAGTGCTAAGTCTGACGAGCTTGAGTCTTCCTCCCACTCCAAGCCTCAGCTAACAGCGCGCCGAACTTGTCATAATTGGGTGAGTTAAACAATAAAATGAGTCTACTGCCAACACTGATGCATCTAACAACTAAATGGTAGGTTAACTGATGTGCAAATAACCAGCTAACATTAGAAAATATAGAGTAGTGAAAATATCCGCAAGTGCCAAACCACAAGTATGTGGGGTCCACTGTGAATTCTTTAAAGGGAGGGGAGATGGCAACAGGGGCAAAAAACCCATTTTATAAGAAGGGAAAAAACACTTCAGTCAAACAATCCATTTTGTTTTGATTTAGAAAAATTTCCCCCAAGAGAAATTATGTAAATAGAATTAATTTGTTTTAGAGCCAAACTGGTCTCAAATCATCTCATTCATAATGGTCGATGAAACTTTTGTGCAACTCATGACCCATAGTGATCCAGAAATGGTATTTTGAAATCAGACTTGTACGACCTTGAGATTCAAATTCATGGGGAGATATTTGTGTGAAAATTATTCACACAAGTGCATCTGCAATTTTCACGTGTTTTTCAAAAATCCATAAATATATGCACGATTCTCACTTTTTTTTTTTTTTTTTTTTTGGTGTTGTGTGTGCGCATTTGTCTCACGGGCCAAGGCAAAATGAGCTTGAGGCAAATAAAAACGGTCGTATTTTGTTTACTGACTTGTTTGTGATAAACACATAATAGAAGATCAGCGAAAGGCTCATTGTTCCTTTTTCCATTTTGAATTTTAAAATTGAATATTGATAAATGAGAAGTCATGACATATGCACACACAACAAACAATAAAACGTGAAAATCGCAGATGTATTTGTGGATCTGAAAAACGTGAAAATCACGAATGTAATTGTGTGAATAATTTTGACACAAATCTTTCCTCATACAAATTTAGATTCTTAAGTTTATGGGCAATTGTCTAAATTGGAAAACCAGTGAAAGGGAGATTTCTTGGTCAAATTGCAGAATGCAGAATTTTGCCCGAAAGACCATTAAAAGCTGTGTGTGTGTGTGTGTGTGTGTGTGTGTGTGTGTGTGTGTGTGTGTGTGTGTGTGTGTGTGTGTGTGTGTGTGTGTGTGTGTGCGCATTGTCAATGTGGGCCAGGAAATATATCAAACTCACCACACTGACGTGTTACTAAAATGAAAATACAGTACGATTAAACACGGTATTTGATACGTCTACATCGGTTGTTGTCAAACATCTTGTTCTCAAGCATGATTAATGTATGTGGATTGTCCCTTATTGTAGGGTTTTGGTTGGTCTGGGTTATCATCTTCATGTTGAGCTGCTGCTGCGTGTGTCACCATCGCCGCACCAAACACCGACTGCAGCAACAGCAGCGACAGCACGAGATCAACCTCATTGCTTATCGTGAAGCACACAACTTTCCCTCAGTGCCCTTCTACTTCAGTAAGACTTGTTTTACATACATCAATGCCCATGTTGATACTAATTTGTTGGCGAATTGTCTTGTGGCGTTATCCCGACCCAGTCTCACTTCTGACATACCATTGAGCTAGACCAGGGGTGTCAAACTCGTTTTTAAGATAAGATAACCTTTATTTGTCCCACACTGGGGAAATTTGCAGTCTACAGCAGCAAAATGGGGGGCGGGGGCAACAAAGTGTTTCATTGCACAAAATAAATGTTTCAGAAAAGAACTGTACACAGTTCAATATAAGTGCAATATAAAATATAGCATTAGCAATATATTTGTAGAATAAATATAATAAATTAGCAATAGCATAGAAAACAGCATAAGGTGGCTGTGCTATTTACAATGGTTACAGGTTTTCACATATGTTTATTCAGCAGCCTGACAGCAGTCGGTAGGAATGAGCGGCGGTATCTCTCCTTCTTGCAGCGCGGGTGTAACAGTCTCTGGCTGAAGGAGCTACCCAGTGCTGTCAGGGCGGGCTGGAAGGGGTGGGAGGGACTGTCCATCATAGCTTTTAGTTCAGCGAGCATCCTCCTCTCGCGGGCCACATTGTAGTTCGGGTTTCCCTTGGAGGGCCGGCATGAATTTTGGGAAACCATATAAATGTTTAATCCCTTCCACATTTTACATACACAGCGCACCACAAATTGATTAATAACTAATTTTAAAATCAGAAGTCAAGAATATTGACTGTTATTGTGGATTACATATGACAATTTGAAATTTTGGTTCAGACTTTAGCCAGCATCATGGAACTTGACATGCTTGACTTTCTTTCGCGGACCCACATAAAATGGTGTGGCGGGCCAGATCTAGCCCCCGGGCCTTGAATTTGACACCTGTGAGCTAGACAGTGGCAGTGTGTTGTTCTGCACTCCTTAACATTCATGTAACGATCAGCGAACTAGAAATGACAAAAGTATTGCACGTGTCTCCGAGCAAGGCAGTCTGGGAGCCCTTTTTTTTTTTCCACCGCAGCTTGAGAGGTTACATGCGCTGCACGCACGCACACACAGCAGTCAACAGTGATGGTCAACTTGTTTCATTATGGCATTTTCAAACTATTTTGATGACTTCCGAGTTGATCTACAACCACGATACTGGCAGAAAGTTACTCTGGACGACTCAACCCAAACACGCTGTCCAAGATTTTTCAGAAGCGATCCAGATATTGTTTACTTCCTGGTGTTGATGACATCCATGTGAGTTTGGCTTTCTGTCCTCTGATTGGACGAGCAAGGGAATCCTAACATCACTTCTGGAATGTTAACGTCGTCACTCTGCCACCGTGGGGTATACAAGCGGCTCAGTCACTTTCAGGCCTCCGTAGCGAGTTGGAGTTGGAATAGTAGCGTTTGCCAACAACTTTATTTCAATTTTCACATAAGTGATTTATGAGCACAGCATTTGGTTGGAAAAGGTAATTTGGTTGTAGTTTGTGACTGCTGCTGTCAGTAACAGCTAGACCACGCCCAACTAGCAAGCCCAGTGGTCCTCCAGGCAATGCCACCTTTGCATGCCTTTTTCAAATACTGTATTAGTGAGGGGTGGAGAAAGAGTGTTGTCAGATGGGTGAGTTACCCTTTAAGCCAGGGGTGTCCAGACTCAAGGGTCGCAGTCCTGCCTGTTTTCCATCTCCCCCTGCTTCAGCACACCTGATTAATATGATCAGGATCATTGTCAGGCTTCTGCAAGGCTTGCTGGTGAGAAATTCTGTTTCTGTGCTTTTTGACCACTTTTTAGTGGTGGCATTTCATGATTTCTCTGTGATATATTTTATTTCTGTTATCATTGCTCCACATGTCACATATTTCAGATTTATCAAACCCGTCAAGTCTGATGCTCATTCTTATCTTCGTAAAGGCATCATTGATATTACAGCTCTTGGACTGAATCTGATTTACTCATCTTCCTCTCTAGGGTTTCTACCAAGCTATCTGCTGCCAGATTACGAAGAAGTCGTGAACCGTCCACCGACTCCTCCACCACCCTACAGTGCCTTACACACAGCAGCATCCTCAGCAGTCTCACAGCCTCACCTCGAGCAGCAGGATGGACACTGTCCAGACATTCAACCGGCCACAGCACCCCCCGACTCGGACGGCCTGTGCAACAGGCCCAGTGTAGACGAGCCACAACCGACTGCTTTCGATTTAATGCCAAATGCTGACAACAAGCCTGCACAAACAACGCAGGATTCAGGCATGTTACTTTTGTCAGAGGGGATTAGTAGGGAGAGACTCAACCTTGAGGATAAGACGAGCGACTGCAAGGATGCTCTTTTGAAGGACCCGTCAGATGACAAGGATCGACTCCCAAATGGTAGAAGGCGACGGTTTACAGGTGACTCTGGGATTGAAGTGTGTGTGTGTGGCTCGCGTGGGAACAATGGTTGTAGTGGAGCAGGTGGCCTGGAAGGTAAAGAGTTGCGGGAGCTGGAGAGCCTGCTGGGCCGTGAGGGATATGAGGAGGAGGAGGAGGCTGGAGACTTCTGTGATAGTTGTGTTCACCGGTCTTCGTTCGGTGTGGAGGAAGAGCCGGCGCTCGGCGGGTCGGAAAGGCGAGCAGCACCAGGATCCTCCCAGCCGGCGCACCAAACAGGCAACGCGTCACTGCACCCACCAGTCTGCCTCCTCCTCCACACCATCAATGAGCAGGAGGGTCCACACCACAGCACCAGCACTGAGCCACAAGGTTGAAACACACACCGTAGATGGATCACGGAAGCTTTTTTTGGGACACAAATAAAGGGCTTCAAACCTCAAGATTTTTCAAATGAGTATCGGTGCAAATTATTTGTGGGATCCAGAAGTCAAATTTCAAAACGCAGTGACTGATGACAAAGCTCTGTTCTACACACTGGAATGTGAAGTGGGCTTGACTAACATCTGTGTGGACAGAAGACAGTTTGTGCACACGACGCACCTCGCACAGTTGCTATCTTTGCATCCTGTGATACATATTGCAAAGACTGGACCACTGTGACTGGAAGATGGCTGATCTCACCCAGCAGGTGTTTGGAAATTAGTTACTAAAAGACACGGTCAACAAGCCCTTCTCATATGTCTGTTGGAGCGAGCAAGCGTATATTGTAGAAACATCTGACCTGGACCTGAATGTGCTTTTTTTTTTTTTTTTTTTTATCCAACGATTCTGAAAGAAAATATTTTCTTGTGCTTGATCTGAACCACTAGCGCATTAACGAGTCTTTGTGTGAGCTGTTCCTACTTTGCACAAATTTATGTTTTTTAAATGAAGCTTTTAAGTAAGACTATCATTTTGATTTTCACATTTCCGTCTTAAATTGCAGCACATAGCTTGTTTCTTTGGGGTTCAAGTACAACAGATTCACTTGTTGGTTCATGAATTGCCTTTTGGATAACTTCCTGAATGTTAGCAGTTTGTGCCTACCCAGAGAGCTGATATGGGGAACATCAGCTCCTCGCAGTCATTTGAGCAGATTAACACCTCCACCAGCAGTACAGTATAAAGCACTGATCTTTGCCGTATTTAAATTTACCAACCTACCATACATAGTCATCTACAGTAAAATGGTATTAATACGTTACTGTTTAATTGTGTGTAGAGTTAATTATGACAACAATCACATATACTGTATGTGATAATTTGCACTAAACAATGGGAAACATTTGCCCATGATATACGTTTGTGCAATGTAACCACCTGAGGTATGGATTGTGTTGTGTTTAAAAGCTGCCCGCTACTCCCCAACACAGACACACAGTTTGGAATTTTGCGGGGAGTTGAAATGGTGCAGACATGTTACTGGGTCTGTTATAAAGCCATTTCATTAATCCCTGATCGTGGTAATCCTCAATACAACTGTAGTCGAAATGGCAAAATGACCCATTTATTATAACAATATGCAACAACTGTAGACTGGAATAGAGGCTCTCAACAATAAAATATTTCGTGTATAAGTACCTAAGGAGTTGTCTATTACTGAATATCAGTTCACAAAACATTCCTGTTAGGTGAATGTGAACAGTTTTAAATTATGAATGTTGACAGCGCTGCACTACAAAAATGGCCACTTGTAAAAGATCAATTAATTGATCTCTAACCTGCTGGTAGAATGTTGCACATATGCCCCCGTAAAAAGTAAATAACCACAATTTTAACAGCTAGATGAAGGAGGTAGTCGGACAAAGGACTCTGATTACACTTTGACTGTGATCTATCTAAAAATGTACTTTGTTATAGAAATACATTTTGTAGGCCTATGTAACATCCAGCAAATTTTATAAAGCACAATGTTTTCATCAGCCAACGCAGACGTTCAATGAAAAGATTAAAAATATTCCCCACACTAAAAATAACTGAAGCACAAATTCTTTTAAGATGTCTTGTTGAAACTAATCAAAAGTCGATCATAAATACTATCTGTGCAGTATAAATTGTGCAACTTGTGGTACATGTAAGCGCAAGGATGAGCTATAGTTCACATGAGCAAAATCATTGAGAGTACCGATATTTATTTTTTAAAAAATGTATAGCATTGGTAAACCACTCTATTTTCAAATCTACAATCATGTGGCAGATTTTAGCCGGAAAAAATTAGCTATATTTGTTTTTGCCTTCATGTCCTTGTGTGTCAAAGTGAGACGTGTGCTGAAGTTTTGTGACGAGTACATGATGATTGAACATTCTTGTTCAACCCAATCAGGTTAAATCATGCCAAAGACTCATTCACTTCACTATGTGGATGTGCGCATATTCTTTGAATGTTAATATGTCAACACCAACCAAGATGGATGTACTTTTAATAAAGGTTTCAATTTTAATTAAAAATTGTCATGTTTTTTATTTATTACCTTTAACTTGCTACATTACAATCATCCAAGTTATCACGGAATTTTAACAATTTAAATCCAAATATTTTTTTTTCCCAAAGAAAGGATTAGTAAAGTCACTGTTGACATTCTGTATGTGAAATGTGCATAGTTGTGTCCCAATTGTCATGTGTAAGGGGAAAAAACGTTGGTTTATAAAAGTTAGAGGCGTATTTTATTGGACGGCTTGATCACCAAAATGCATACTTTGACGTCAGAGTTGTTTTAGCGATCATAGGAGCAAAGATATGGGCTCTTGAGTATTTTAGGGTGAATTGTGAAACCGATAGCCCAATGCAATAAGCACTCATCTTGTTTAGAATAGTGCAGCACAGTGTGTGCTGTGGTGCAGGAAGTGAACTCTGAACCTTACTTCTTCAACTGGACTTTTTGCTAGTCCACTGTCGGCTTCGCCGAGCACTCAAAACAAGCTTTTACCTCTGAACGGTTTTCTACACCGATCTCACTCACAATCTACAATGGCTGATAAAACTAGGTAGGAACGCGACTAAAATATCTCGTTTCCAGTTCATTTAGCCTAGCTTTTAGCATTGAGAGCCTGTGGCGCTTGTATTTATATGGCACGTCTCGCTTACTCATATCCAGACTGACTTTACAACGAGCTTTGCTTTACGTGTGATGAGGTATATAATGCATTTAATACTCTTTTTTTTAAGCTTTGTGGATACCATCGTTCACCAGGATGTTAAGGTAGGAGCAACGTTTTCTTGATTGCAGTAATCTAAACGCTATAAACCTTTATCTTATCATAGCCTGGTAAACATCCATTGAGGCTGCCTCTTGATTATTTTTGGGGGGCTGCTGATCAATGGTGAATGTGTTTTGCCGGTTCGTGCTATTCGTTAAAGTTCTTGATCTTACGAGTGTACATCCAAATCTCCTTTCGTGGCTTCAAGGTTTATGTCATCTCTTGGTAGGATTACTATGGAAAGAAGTTACAGAAGACCTCAGACCTGAAGAGTAATGCTTGTGTGGCTCCAGCCCAGCCCTACCCAAATTTCATCCTTAATGCTCTGAAGAAAGTACACCCTGATGTGACTGACAGGTTGTCACCGATATTTATTTTATGTTATTTTTTACTTTTTTTTTTTGCCAAGTATTGTTGGTTATATTCTGGAATGGGTTTCCTGTTCCCCCAGATACTATGGTTGTGGTCTGGTGGTGCCAGAGTGTTTGGAAGGCTGCAGGATTCTTGACCTGGGCTGTGGGAGTGGCAGAGACTGCTTCATGCTGAGTCAACTGGTGGGAGAGGCTGGCCATGTCACCGGCATTGACATGACTGAGACTCAGGTACTTATAGAATTAGTGCCGGTGCTATTGAGTAATAAATAAACAACAAAACCAACCAATAAACACTACCTCATGCTTGGCATGTGTAGTAGTAACACTCGCTGCCAGAGAGGTAAGATTTTTTATTTACTTGATAGATTTGTGTGTAATCACACTCCTGCAGCTTATAGCATACATATTGTGGAAGCAAATACATTGGAGCCGCTCAGGCCCAACGCATACTGTTTCCCGTCAAAATAAGCCAATAATGAGCATCCAGAAGTAGTCCTTTGTTTATTGATCATGTATTTGGACCACAAAAGCATAATTAATATGTTCTATGTTATCTAGCTTGAAGTGGCCAGGAAACATATGGACTTTCACATGAAGGAGTTTGGCTACAAGAAGCCCAATATTACCTTTGTCCAGGGCTACATTGAGGCCTTAACAGAGGCGGGTCTGGAAAGTAACTCTTTTGATGTTATCATGTAAGCTGTACTTCTTGCCTCCTGCTCTCACATTGTAAAGCTGCGTATTTGTATACATTCTTTTTTTCCAATTGTCACTTTTTTTATCACTTAGCTCCAACTGTGTGGTGAATCTTTCTCCAGAAAAGAAGCGAGTCCTGACTGAAGCCCACAGTGTGCTAAAGGTAACTTAACTGTTGAAATTGGAAAACATTATTTTTATTTTTCTCAATTAAAGTTTTCAAGCATTCCATGGGAAGATTAACTGTAGAATGTCAGAGATATTTAAAGTTGGACACCAGTATTATTTTACATTCTAACTGACCAAAGTACTTGTCCCACGTTATTTATCATCTAACTGTGCCCATCACAAATTTAAGGACACTCTTTCAACCCTTTCCGTTCTTAATGCTTTCCTCCAGAACTCCATTCCACAGCATTTCCTCAAAATCTGTGCGTACACATGCATGTGCCCAACCCTCAGTGAGATGTTGTCACCCTGGCCACCCCATTGTAAATTGTCCCTGGTTGTGATGTTCTCTTCATATACAGTGGACGCCCACTATGAATAAGGACCAGGCTGGCTTGCAAATAGCAAAAATCTGTGTAACTGTATAATTGATGACCATTGAAATACATCGGAGACAGAAAAAAAATGTAACCCAGAAAATGTCTTCAAAAAAGGCTACTAAAAATCCAATATGCGGTTTCCTCAAAAAACACAGGTGAGGGGAGTTGTAGGTCCAGGGGCAACCCCCCCTCAAAACAACAACAAAAAAAACTTAAAATGTATAATTAAAAAAAATATCAATGTGCGAATCCGCCGGTGCTGAACGCTGAATATTCAAGGGTCCACTGTTATTTCATTTGGCAACTATACAAATTTCCACTGTAAATTTCAAGATTTTTGCACCCTTCGTCTAAAGCAGTTAAGTATTTGTGTTAACCATGCACTGTACTTGCTGTACTGATGATTAGGATGGTGGTGAGTTTTACTTCAGTGACATCTACAGCAACGCAAGACTGCCTGAGGAAATTAAAAAGCACAAAATCCTGTGGGGTGCGTATTTGCGATGTTATACTGATAAACGCGTATATAAGCTGCAGACATCTCAGTGGAAAATCTCATGGCAGGGGAGTGTATAGGTGGCGCACTGTGGTACAAAGATCTGCTACAATTGGCCGAGGAAGTTGGATTCAGTCCACCAAGGCTCGTTACTGCCAGCATCGTCACTGTTGATAACAAAGAACTGCAAGCCATTCTGGGTTTGATGCTCCTTTCCTCCTTTCATGGATTGCATGTTGTGTCATTGTATCTTGTCAAAGCCGAATCCAATACAGTTTATCCCTCAAGATTAGTTTGAATAAACAAAACACAAACCAATGTGTTTTCATCTTTTTTTTTTTTTTTTACATTCCAGGGAACTTCAAGTTTGTCTCTGCCACATACCGTCTCTTTAAGATCCCGAAAGGCAGCCCAAAGCCATGTAACGTCATTTATAATGGAAACATTACAGGGGCAGAGGACTCTCTCCGCTTTGACTGTCAGTACACCTTCAAGGTCTGTATAAGCTCCTGCAGAATCCGATCAAGTCCAGGGACTATTGAACTGAATGTTTGCTTCTGCCAGGCTGATCAAGTGGTCGAGGTCGATGGTGAATTAGCCGCCATCCTGACCCATTCCAGATTTGCACAGGACTTCACTTTCCAGCCACCAAGCCGCTCCTGTGGACCTTGTGGAGTCAAACCGAAGGTCAGTAATACTTGAAACAAAGGTGACAAACTTGAGGCCTGGGACCAGATCTGGCGCGCCACATCATTTTTGTGGCCCATTAAAGCAAATCATGTCAGTCTACTTCATGTTTCTTGCTAAAATCTACACCACAGTTGCAAATTGTTTTCGCTTTTAAATACTTAGTAGACATCACAGGTGTTTTTTCACCTTTCAAACCATCTTTTTATAATAATTTGCACAGTTGTACTAACTATTTTCCCTGACTGTTAATTTCCAAACTAGTTTTCCATCAATATATTGTGCATATTCAATACTATTGTTATATGGTTTCACAGTCACAAAGGCCATCTGAGAGAAATTCTGACTACAAAATGGTTCTCGACCAATGATGAGTTTCTGCGAAAACATATTAAATTACTTTGGGTACCAGAGGTGTTTGTGATAAAAGTTTGAAATTGTGGACACACCCTGAGAGGCCCATTGTTGAACTTCATAGAGTCATACTCAATAAAACATTTTCAAACACACGTTCACATATGCAGTCATCCACAAGCACAAGGTCAAGCAGCTGTCCCAGAGTCATAACCAGTCTGTGGAGTCATGCCGGGAACCTGGGACAGGAAGGAATGTTCCCTTCTCGAGCTCATGGAATGCTATCGTGTCAGCTCTAATGGTTATTCTGTGAATGCATACATCCACAAAGAGCACAAGATGTTTTCATCTCAACCCTTATCTTTAATCACATACAAATACATATTCTTTCCAATTGCCCAACTTCAAATATGCATTGTGACTTCAATGACAGTACTTCTAACTGAAAAGTACAGTGGCAGGCGGTGCGTTTCAGACCTGGGCCCTCACTGGGGACTTAGGTGACCGAATCCACCACTTAATGCCACCACTGTCACGTTGCAGTTTTATAAAATCAAAAATGAAAAAGACTTGTGAACATCAAAAATCTGCATATATTTGACAGCCATTTAAATGCATTGGGGAAAAAAAAAAAATATATATATATATATCCCCCCCATCTGACTTTAGGCGGAAGACAGACTCCACCCTTAACTGGTCGTCAGCCAGTCACAGGGCACAGACCGAGACAAACAGCCATTCACAACCACATGCACACCATTACCAAGTGGGAACCGATTGATTCTACGCTGCCCGCACACAAGTTGGGAGAGTGAACCACTACACCATCAAGCTGATATCTGATTATTACAAAAAAAAAATGCAACTGCATACTACAGGAAACTGAACAGCCAAGAACGTGACTCTGAAATGAGGGTACTTGCCTGTTGGAACTATATTAATACATTTGCATTGACGTTGTCAATGTAGGTCAGTGCTTTTGATCGTGTTTAGGCCATCAGAGAAGACCTTGTAGGGCCGGACTGCACACTGCGAGTTGTATTTTAACTGCCGTTTTTGAGAGATAATTCATAGTTGAACCTTTGGAC